AACATGAATGTCAGTATGGTCATTGGGATTATGAATGTGACTATCTTTATTTCTGTAATCGCGATAAAATGGACTAAATTGCGTTTACCAAGTGCTGTTATTTCTGGTAGCAGTCGTGTGTCTGGTACTGTTACAGTACATAGATAGTTGACTTCTAACTCCAATTCCTGCGGTACCAATTCAGTTCCGCTGCGGGGGAATCTTTGTCTTTACTACGAACTTCCTTGAACAAGGAATTTACTACATGTCCTCGGTTCAAGCCCGGTCTGGTGGATGCTCGACTTTCTACCTTCCGAGGTTGTCAGTTGAGTGTGAAAGTACACTCTACACTAGTTACATATTTGTTGCCGATTCCGCGATTAAAAATAAGGCGTTCCTGTCTAACGACATCTAGATGGAGATCAGCATCCCAACCATTGAATTCATGAAAACAGGGATGCCAGAATTAACTGACATTCTAACACTGCAAACTTTCCTTTTTTCTTGTTTGTAACAGAATGAATAACTGTTGTGAATGTACTTTATTGCTTGAATATTCGAAGCAGAACTGATCATACTTGTCAGTATAAGACGCGTTCAGCGGTTGGCAGATTAAGCAGCTATTTTATCATTTGTCAAACATTGGTCAATAGATCGTTCATAATGGAAGCCATGGCAGGAATGACACAGTCACGTGTCAGTGACATTCGTCAAAAGATGTCTGTTGAAGGGAATACCGAGATCCAGCTGTAGGCAACCTTTCAGAAGGCTTTATGCAAGTTTTTGATCGGAATTTAAGCATTAGGGCAGCCATTACGTGCTACCAACTTCAGAGCTTAGCGCTATATGGGAAAATCGGTTTTTAGACGTTTAGGAAAGAACATGAGTAGATATAAGTAACAGAGCGAAAATGAAGGATTTGATGACAAAGGTGAGAGTGGATTTAGAATCGCTCGTTTATCTCAAGCGAATGTACACGCTGTTAGGTGTTTTATCAGCAGTCAGTTACAACTGCAGTCCGGATCATGACCAATGTTTTCAGATGTTATACCGAAGTAATCATAATAAGAGTAAGTTCATAAATTGTTGAATAATGCGTTTTGTTATACAAATAATGGAATTAATACTTAGTAAAATAAGAGTACGCGTCTCGACATGGTCCGGAATAGTGACATCCGGAAGAGCCTTGGAATACAGCCTTTGCTTCTCCA